TATTTAGAAAAACACCTAAAAATTGTTACTGATCTTTTGCTACCAAAACTGAATTATAACTCATGCTAAGATGATGCAGGACAAACATAGTAAAAATATGTAGTATCTTAAATATATTGAAAGTGAAAATAGACCTTTTCAAAATTTCTGAAATGAACTGAAAGCAGTGCTTTGAAATTTATAGCACAGAATGCATTTATAAAATAAAATTGGTAATATAATATTCCAGTTTAAAACACTAAAGGAAGTGCAATATAAAACTGAATCAGTCAAAAGAAAAAATCAAAACAATTGTACCACAAAGAAATGAAACTAAAAATAGAAAATCAACAGAAAAATCAGTGGCATGAAAACATTGTTTGAAAAGATTAATAAAATTAGTAAATATTGAGCCAAGATAACAAAGAAAAAAGACACAATTGACAAATATAAAAAAATGAGTGATAGGCTAGCATTTCTAACTAGCCTATCACTAGGCTATTAATGTCCTATCACATGGACATTAAGAGGATTAAAAAAATACTATGGACACCTCCATTCCCATAAATATGAAAACCCAGATCAATGGAACCAGTCCCTTCAGACACAATCTACTAAAACCCACAAAAAAAGAAACCTAAATAATACTATATCTATTAATGAAATGGAATCAGTATCTTCCTAGTAACCTTCAGAAAAACTTATTTTCAGCAATTTTTACTTATTTTAACTTGTGAGATTCAGGAGTTCCCACTTTGTTAAGAACATGTAGAAGTAGCAAATACTTAACTTTATTACTCATTGGATCAGAAAATCCATGTCAACCATGGTCTGTTACAGCACAATGGGTGCAATGATTATGGAGAATTTAGGCTTCATGAGACTTGTTTTTTGATTAAAAGACAGTACACCTGTTTTATATACAGCAACTCCCTCTAAGACCATAAGGGAACCATACTTAAATTTTGAGGCATCACCAAGTATAATTCTTTCATAACCTGTATTGATTAAGGACATGAACATTTCCCAATTGATGCATTTCACAGATTTTAAAATTCATAGGCCATTTTGCAGAAGCATGAAACCCAATCAGCATCCAGCTATCTAGTTTTATATATTACTTAGTAAACTTCAGAATTCCAATTGGGTCAAACTGTAAAACTTTTTCTCTTGAATAGGAGCTCCTTTGAAGCCAGTGGGTGAACTCCTGTGTACCCTACTCATATTTATAAATGTATTTCTCCGGAAAGACTAAAACCAACATTGTCATTGCTACATGCCTCCTACAAGGTAATAGTTGTGTTGTAGGGTTTATGAATTCTATGTATATGCTTGGTTGAATTAATTCCTTTGCCGTGTCATATGGGGGCCATGACTGTTTCTCCCCAAAGCAGGTTCACTGTTTACTGTTATGAACTTGACTGAGTATGAGAACACATTCATACACATATAAGTCAAATTGTTACTTATAAAGGCATCAAAGACAAGAAGTCTAAAATTCAATGTGATGTCATCCTCTAAGGTCCAGAGAAGATGCCTAGAAGGGCGGAATTTTGATTGCATGTGGCCCACTTGCAACACTGTTAAGAGACTCATGAAAACAGCCCAGCCCAGTTTTTATACCCTAGGATTACGTGACTCACTGACTAAAAGTGTTGAAGGACATTGTATTTCTATTAAAGACTGTTAAGTCTGCGCTATTCTACCATTCTCTCCTGATTTCAGGATGTTGCATTCCCAGCACATTTTATGCTTATTCCTGAGAACTGCAAGTAAGAGAAAGGATAAAACTGGGCCAGTCCAAGATAACTTGCAGGACACTTCTCGATTCTTAACAGTGAGGGAACAGGATTTTTTTTTTTTTTTACAGAAACATAGGCAGTAGCTGTAGAGAAAGTTCAGTGTCCTAATGGCCCATCTGCTATTTGGTTTGTGGACCAGAGCATGACATATGACTGCTTTCCCTTTGCATAAAAACTGCTTCAGAGTATATTTAGTTCTTCTCATGCAAAGTAGCCACATTTGTTTTATCAGTAGTGTGGGCAATCTGTGGTCAGTGAAAAAAGTTCAAGAGTCCATCAATCCACATTGAAGACCACCAACATCCTCCAGTGAGTGCCACTCAATCTTGCTGATGTTAGCAATGTACATTAAGGTCATTTTGACTAAGGCCCTGTAGGTTGCAAGGTTAGGCCTTTGGCAGCTGATCAGCCGTGCTAAAAGAAGCCCATTTACAAGATAGGGGTTAAGCAATGAAAGAGACTAATATCAAATGCTTCTTCCCCTTTTCTTTACTCATGATTGCCTGGACCATGAGGCACCACTGATATGCACCTCATCAGAAGAGTGTACATAAAAGCAGCAGCACAAGAAACACTCAAGGACACTAACCTTGCACAAGTAATCCTGTTAGACCATTAGGTGACATGCTTAATTCTCTCCAGGGTAGGGATATTTTTTCTTTCTGTACCTACACACACACATACACAGACACACAAATTTTTTCTGCAACTACACACACACACAGTCCCTGGAGCTGTCCCAAGTGTGTACAGTAATAATGTTCATATGGCTACTTCAAGCATCCAGTGATGGTAACCAAGCTAGATGCAGTTACCACAGAGTGATAGTCTGACTTTTGACAATCAAAAATAACCCACTGGTGAAGGTGCTGTGTTTTCACTGCCTTAACGTGGGGTACCTTGGAAACACAGATCAAGTTGGAGCATACATTGTGCTAGGGCATGGTCACTTAACCAACCATGTCTAGGAGTTGAGAGTCTTACTGTGGGACAAGGTCACAACACCTGATAAAGAACACAAAGTGCTGTGTGGACCAAAGTGAAAGTCCGTCATCATTTGGTGGTTCTAATTCTGGTGACTTTTGTTATATTATAAAACCAGTTAGAAAAAAGCAGTTTAAGTTGAAAAGATATCATTAGTCATGGCTGGTCTATTCTGTTGGTAATGCCAGTTGTTCCACAGTCTCATTGGTGAAGAGAAAAATTAGGACCCTAAGGCTAACAGGAAAAACACTTGACAGCCATGACTGCACAGATAAGATTAACAGCAGTTATTAGTTACATATAGACAAAAGAGGAAGGCTACTGTAAATGAGGCTGGCCCACACAGGACTTGCATTAAGGAGCAGACAGAACAAACAGGGTGTAAAGGGAATGCTTTGTAGTGTCAAGAATGTGAGATGCTCCTTGGTTCTCATGAGGATGCAGTTGGCTTGTTTAAATGCATCTGTGAAATGTCAGACTACAGGATAAGATCAAAATAGTATAATATAATCCGGTAACATAACTAGATATGCACAATTCATACTTATAAAACTGTACTATACCAAGTAATATATATATAGCTATTTATACACATATAAGTACACATGTGGACATGCCATATATACTAGATGATTCTATACTATATGGTACACTAGGGAACACAAATTTCTTTGAATATAAATGCAAAAGGCCACAATACACTGGAAAATTGAAAATATCAATATGGGTTGAGTGTTTCTTATCTGAAATACTTGAAGACAGAAGTGCTATGGATTTCAGACTTTTAAAGTTTTTGGAATATTTAGAGAAAACTTACTGGTTGAACATCAAAAATCGTCTAATGACTGTTTCTGTTGTGTAAAATACTGGTGCTCAGTTTTAGACTTCAGAGCATCCCAGATTTGGTATTTGGAATCTGGGGTTTACAGATGCTCAACCTGTAGTTAAAATACTTATATTCCGTGATGAAGACAAATTTCACTCAGAAAACCATGATATATTTATATTTGAAAGCCAGTCAATGTAATAGACTACGAATAGAATGTCAAAAAACACAAATCATATCAACAGATGCAACAAAAAACGTGGTAAGAGTTCAACATGAAACAATAAATAAAAAATACAAGAAAACTTCCTGAACCTGTTTTAAAATATTTATGCAAAACCCACAATATACCTTATGGTGAGACTGAATGCTTTCATACTCAGATTAGACAAGCATACTGTCCTATCACAGTTCTCTCTTAATTCAAAGTAATAAGTGAGCCAGGTGTGGCTCATGTCTGTAATCCCAACATGTAAAGAGGCTGGGGCAGAAGGATAGTTTGAGGCCAGGAATTCAAGACCAGCCTAGAAAATAGTGAGATGGTGGCACGTATCTGTACCTCCAACTACATAGGAAGCTAAGGTGGGAGAATCACATAAGCCCAGTAGTTTGAGGCTACTGTGAGCTATGATTGTACCACTAGACTTCATCCTAGCTGACAGAGTGAGACCCTGTCTCTAAAAACGTAATTTTTTTTTCAAGTGAACTATGCAAATAGCCAAAAATAATGACAAAAAGAAAATGAAAATAATGCACATGAGACTATATAAAATTCAAACTTGCAAATTAATAATTTTTTATTATCAAAGAAAATAGAAGACAATCTTTACAACAAATTTTTTCCCATAAAAAGGTAAAATATATATATAAATATATACATATACATACACGCACACACAAACACACACACACACTAAATAGGTGGGGAATAACCAAAACTTGCCACATAAGATCAGTAAGAAATTCCCAATAATTAAAAACTCATTTTTAAATGATCCATTAGAGAACAATTAAACTAAATAAAAATTAAAATTGCCTACATTTAGAAATATATTTCAACTCAGCATAGAAATCCAACAAATTTTTCAATGAATAAACAATTATGTTAATAAATGAGAAAAAAAATTGCCTATTAAACTCATGTGCTATGGCTTATCTATGGAATTCTCAACTCCATGATTCCTTGCAAAACAACTGAAAATCACTTTAACAACTGATACATATTTATAACTAGCATAACATTTATAAACTTTTGAGCATTATGCAATAATTTCATCATACTTTTCTACTCACCTGTATTTATAGGATTTCATTCCAATAGTTTTCACTTGCCTTTTGAAGTAATTGTTAAAAACTTTCCTGTATTTTCTCAAACAACCAGAGTTTTACCTCAGTGTGCTTTTACTTACCAGGTCCATCTCCAGTGCATGTTATCATATATCTTCCAATAGATATTTGAGAAATAAGAGCATTCCAACACTATATTCATATGGTTCTCAGAAATTAGTTCTTCCATGTCTTCAAATGGAATTGTCATGTACTTACATTCATAAGGCTTTTCTCCACTGAGTCCTTCCATGATGTCAAATAATGAAAAAACTTTCTAACTTGTTTTAAAGAATGGAAAACCTGAGGGCTTTACATTTCTGAAAATTACAATGTTTTTATCCATTGTGAATTAGTTTATATATTTGAAAGCGACTGGGAAAATTAAATGCTTTAAAACATTTCTGGTATTTTATGAGGTTCTTTCCCAGTATGGGTTCTTCTATGTATGTTTTAGAAGGAAACTAGGAAAACTGCATACATTCTAATAGTCCTTACATGTGTTGAGCTTCTCTCTAGTGTGAGTTTTAAATTTTTTCACATGTTCAAATTAAATTAGAGTATCTGAAAGCTTTAACACACTTCTTACATAGAGGTGTGTTGTTTACTGCATATAAGATCTTTCATGCTTTCGAAGGGAACTGGAACAACTGAAAGCTTTACCACATTTCTTACATTTATAGGGTTTTACTCCAGTATGAGTCCTTTCATGGTTTCGAAGGGCACTGGAAGAAGTAAATGACTTATCACATTCCTTACATCCATAAGGTTTCACTCCAGTATGAGTTCTTTCATGCTCACAAAGGTTACTAGAATATTTGAAGGCTTTACCACATTGTTTACATTCATAGGGCTTTTCTCCACTGTGAGTCCTTTCATGTACTCTAAGGATTCTGGAACATCTAAAGGCTTTGCCACATTTTATACATTCATAGGGTTTTTCTCCAGTATGAGTTCTTTCATGTATTCCCAAATAAGTGGAACGACTGAAGGCTTTGCCACATTCCTTACATTCATAGGGTTTCTCTCCAGTATGAGATCTTTCATGTTGTCGAAGAGAACTGGAAAAAGTGAATGATTTACCACATTTCCTACATGCATAGGGTTTTTCTCCAGTATGAGTCCTTTCATGTTCACGAAGATAACTTGAATAATTGAAGGCTTTATCACAATGTTTACATTTATATGTTTTCTCTCCAGTATAAGTGCTCTGAGGCATTTGAAATACACTGGAAAAATCAAAAGGCTTCTCATATACTGTACTCTTATAAGGTCCATTACTAGTGTGTGTTACCATGTGTCTGTCAACACTTTTAAGAGAGAGAAAGGCTTTCCCGCATTGTTTGCATTTATATAACTTCTCTGGACATTCCACACACTCAGATAGTTTGTTTCCAGTATGAGATATGCTGTGCCTATGAAGGGCTGAATGGCATATGAAGACTTTTCCACACACATTGCATTCACATGGCTTTACTCCAGTAGAAATTTTCTTATTCAGATTAAAATTTGAATCCTGGTTGAAAGCTTCTCCATACTGACTGCCTTCTTTAATTTCAAACAATCTCTCCACCATATGACTGCTGTAAAAATAATAAATACATGATTAATGGTACATGATTTACATTCCTATTAATACCAAGAAAAATGCAAGTTTCCTGCAATGTCTGAATTGTTTTAAGTAAATAATTACTGTAAGACAGGGGTCCCCTATGACTATTATCATAACTGTGATAGTCACATGTATAGTTTCTTACTGGTGCTTCCAAGTAAAATATTCAGAAAATATTCAACATTGATGTTACATTCAGGTGTATTTTTGCTGAGAATTTTCTGACAATAAGTAACATTTCTAGTGGTTATTTGTTTTAAAAACCTATGACATACTAAGATTCCCTCAAGGGCATTTTTTTTCTTGCAAATACAAATTACCTTAGATTTCTCCCAGGACTTTTGAAGTCATCTTGCATATTCTGGTTTTCTGACTTGTTTCCTAAAATGTACATACATCCATAAGATTATTATGAATGATCTGAAACTTTAAAAACTGCCAGATGCAAGGTTCATTATACACTGTGACCACATCTAGGTATTTTCACAAAGTATTCACATGCCAAATCAGGAAAACAATATTCATGACTAAGAAACCTACCCTCCCTCCCTCCCTCCCTTCCTGTCTTGCTCTGTTGCCCAAGCTGGAGTGCAGTGGCTCAATCTCAGTTCACTGCAAACTTTGCTTCTTGGGTTCAAGCAATTCACCTCAGTCTCCCAAATAGCTGGGATTACAGGCTCTCACCACCATACATGGCTAATTTTTGTATTTTTTATTCATAGAGATGGAGTTTTGCCATGTTGGCCAGGCTGGTCTCAAACACCTGACCTCAGGTGATCCAGCCACCTCAGCCTCCCAAAGTGCTGAGATTACAGTTGTGAGCCACCACGCCCACCCAAAACACTTGTTTTATATTCAACTACGTGAAAAATTGTTATTCTTACCTACAGAAGCGAGGTTTCTGAAGATTTCTTGCATCACATCTCTGTAGAGACTCTTTTGAGAAAGATCCAGCAAAGCCCACTCCTCCTGGGTAAAGGTCACAGCCACATCTTCAAATGACACTGAATACTGGAAAATCCCACATGTAGAGAGGATGACTTAGACAGACATCTTAAATCATAAAATCTTAACATAATTCTGCAAACTTCAAACACTTCTTCCATGACTTGGACATCAGAACTTTACTCTGTCTGCACTTAGTGCTTCCCAAGCAACATTCCTCATGCTAAAATGAAATTATTCAGAAAGTCAACAGCAGAGTAGAAACACTTTTCTCATTTGGTAGGTGCAGGCAATAAATAGTGCTATAAAAAATGTCACCCCTAATTTCGATATGTAGAGTTTCCCTTGAGGGCCTCTCATAACAAAGTCACACCATCTGTTGTGCATAAAAGTATTAAGTCTTAAGACTACATATCATTAGAAATACCTGCTCACAAAGTCATGCTATCTTTTGTGCACAACAGTTAGTATTAAGATGTCCTTAGAAATACCTGCTCACAAAGTCTGATATTTTGGTGTAAGAAAAGATTTTCTCAGGGATCTATCTCATCACCCTAAGTGAGTGGTTCACAATGTGTAAACAATCTTATGCAAACAATGTATTATAAGCTGAACCCTAGTTTTGTTTTGTTTCTGAAAGCCTACTACTTTATTCCATTCTTGCAGTGGTACCTAGAAGATCAGCCCTAAATAACACTCTGAGCATTAAGTCTCTAATGAGCATTCTTAGTAAACAATATTTCTTACATGTTGTTACAACTTGTTAATTGGAGAAATGAGGCATCAATGTGGTTAAAATAAGAGAATATTTGAAAGTTTGAAGGTAGTTTACTCCAGACCAAATTGAATCCAGATGTAAAGTGATAATTTATCTTTAATAATACAAAACATTACATATATTGGGGGGTGGGGGCGAGAGAGGAAGAGTTTTGCTCCTGTTGCCCAGGCTGAAGTACAATCGCACTGTCTCAGCTCACTGCAACCTCCGCCTCCTGGATTCAACTGATTCTCCTGCCTCAGCTTCCCAAGTAGTTGGGACTACAGGCATGCACCACCATGCCCAGCTAAGACAGGGTTTCTCCATGATGGTCAGGCTGGTCTAAAACTCCCAATGTCAGGTGATCTGCCTGCCTCTGCCACCCAAAATATTGGGATTACAGGTGTGAGCCACTGTACCCGGCCTAACAATTTTATAATTTCTATCGGATAACAATTAAAAGTGAGAAATTGATTTTTTCTTCTAGTCAATATCAAATGTCATGTAGCTGACATTTTATTTTCTATTTTCTCATTTCCAAGAAAATTGACTTTAATAAAAATAGATGTTCTTTAATGTTAGTATGCTTTGCATATTTTCTCACTTTTAAATCATGTTCATTTTCACTCTTCATACTAATTCTTTTATATTGCATGTATTGCAGTTTCATTCTTCTACATGTGGCTTGCCAATTATCCCAGCACCATTTAATAGAGTGCCTTTTCCCCACTTCATGGTTTCGTTTGGTTTGTGGAAGATCATTTGGCTGTATTTGGCTTCATTTCTGGGTTTTATATTCTGTTCCATCAGTTTGGGTGTCTACTTTTATAAAAGTACCATGCTGTCGTGGGGACTATAGTGTTGTTGTACACTTTGAAGTCAGGTAAAGTGATGCCTCCAGATTTGTTCTTTTTATTTCATCTTGCTTTGGCTATTTGAATTCCTTTTTGGTTCCATATGAATTTTAGAGTTTTTTCTACTTCTGTGAAGAATGATAATGTGATTTTGATGGGAATTGTATTGAAGGTGTAGACTGCTTTTGGTAGTATGGTCATTTTTACAATATTGACTGTACCCATCCATGATCATGGGATGTATTTTCATTTGTTTGTGTCACTTTTGATTTCTTTCAGCAGTGTTTTGTAGTTTTCCTTGTAGAGGCCTTTCACTTCCTTGGTTAGGTATTATTCCTGAAGGGTTTATTTTGCTTTTGTTTTTTGTTTTTCCAGCTGTCCAAAAAAGTTGAGTTCTTGATTTGATTCTAGGCATGGTCGATGTTGGTGTATAGCAGTGCTACCATTTGTGTACATCGAGTTTGTATCCTAAAACTTTACTCAATTTATTTATCAGATATAGGAGGTTTCTAAATGAACATCTAGGATTTTCTAGGGATATGATCATAACATCAGTGAACAATGACAGTTTGACTTCCACTTCACCAATTTCGATGCCCTATGTTTCATTCTTGTCTGACTGCTCTGTAGAGAACTTCCACAGTTACAATGAATAGAAGGGGTGAAAGTGGGCCTCCTTGTCATGTTCCAGTTCTCAGGAAAAATGCTTTCAACTTTTCTTCATTCAATAGAATGTTGGCTGTGGGCATGTCATAGATGGCTTTTATTACCTTAAGGTGTGTCCCTTATATGCTGATTTTTCTGAGGGTTGTAATTTTATAGAAATACTAAATTTTGTCAGATACTTTTTCTGCATCTATTCAGATGATCCTGTGATTTCTGTTTTGGATTCTCTTTATGTGGTGTATCACACTTACTAACTTGCCTGTGTTAAACCACCCTGCAGCACTGGTATGAAACCCACTTGATCATAGTGAATTGTCTTTGTGATATGCTGTTGGATTCGGTATTTGGTTGAGGATTTTTGCATCTGTGTTCATCAGGGATACTGATCTATAGTTTTACTTGTTACATCCTTTCCTGATTTTGGTATTAGAGTGCTGCTGGCTTCATAGAATGATTTAGAGAGAATCCGCTCTTTGTCTATCTTTTCAAACAGTGTCAATAGGATTGGGTTTTTTTTTTTTTTAATATCTGATAAAATTTGGCTGTGAATCCATCTGATCCTGGACACTTTTTTGTTGGCAAATTTTAAAAACTATCATCCATATTAGTCTATTCTCACATTGCTATAAGGAAATACCTGAGACTAGGTTAATATATAAATGAAAGAGCTTTGACTCCCAATTCTACATGGCTGGGAAGGTTTGAGAAAACTTACAATCATGACAGAAGGCAAAGGTGAAGTGAGGCACCTTTTTCAAAAGGCAGCATGAAGGAGAATGATCAAAGGACAAACTTGCCAAACACTTAAAATCCATCAAATCACCTAAAAACTCACTCACTATCACAAGAACAGCATAAAGGAAACCAACCCCATGATTCAGTTACCTCCACCTGGTCTCTTCTTGAATCATGGGGATTATGAACACGAATTCAAGATGAGATTTTGGCTGGGGACAGAGACAAACCATATCAGTTCACTCCTGGCCCCTCCCACATCTTATATCCTCACATTTTAAACAATTTTTTTGTTTTGAACAAAACAATCCTCACAAACCTTAACTAATTCCAGCATTATCCTGTAAGTCCAAGTCTAAAATCTCATCTAAGACAAGTTCCTTCCATCTATGAGCCTGTAAAATAAAATCATTTATTTATCTCCTAGATAAAATGGTGGTAGAGGCATTGGCTAAATACACCTGTTCCAAATGGGCCAAAACAAAGGGGCTACAGGCCCCATGCAAGTCCAAAATCCAGCGGGGCAGTAAAACCTTAATACTCCAAAATTATCTGCTTTAACTTCATGTCTCACATCCAGGCCATGCTGATGCAAGAGGTGGGCTACCATAGCCTTGGGCAGCTCTACCTCTATGGTTTTGCAGGGTACCGCCCCCTTCCTGGCTGCTTTCACAAGGTGGCATTGTCTGTGGTTTTTCCAGGTACACCGTGAAAGCTGTCAGTGAATCTACCATTCTGGAGCCTACAGGAGGATGGCTGTCTTCTCACAGCTCTACTAGGCAGTGTCAACACAGGGGCTTTGTGGGGATTCCACACTGCCTTAGCATAGGTTCTCCACAAGGACTACGCCACTGCAGCAAACTTCTGCCTAGATATCCAGGCGTTTCTGTACATCCTCTAAAATCATAGTGGAGGTCCCCAAATCTCAATTCTTAACTTCTGTGCACCCATAGGCTCAACACCAAGTGAAAGCTGCCAAGGCTTGGGGCTTGAACCCTGGGAAGCAATGGCCTGAGCTGTACACTAGCCACAGCTAGGACACAGCCCCAAGTCCCAAGCAGCAAGGCACTGAGTCTGGACCATGAAACTATTTTTTTTTCTCCTATGCCTTCAACCATGTGATGAGAGGGAATGCCATGAAGACCTCTGACATGTCCTGAAGACATTTTCCCCATTGTTTTGGCAATCAACATTCGGATCCTAATTACTTATAACAATTTCTGCAGCTGGCTTGAATTTTTCCTCAGAAAATGAATTTTTCTTTACTATCACATCACCAGGCTGCAGATTTTCCAAACTATTAGCCTCTGCTTCCCTTTTAAACCTGTTTCAATTTCAAACCATCTCTTTTTGAATGCATAAAACTAAGTGCTTTTAAGAGCATCTAAGTCACTTCTTGAATGCTTTGCTCTTTGAAAATTTCTTCTGCCGGATACTCTAATTCATCTCTCTGAATTTCAATATACTGCAGATCTCTAGGGCAGAGGCAAAATGTGCCAGACTCTTTGGTAAAGTATACTGAGTCACCTTTGCTTCAGTTCCCAAGAAGATCCTCATTTCCATCAGAGACCATTTCAGCCTGGAGTTAACTGTCCTTATCACTATCAGCATTTTAGTCAAAGTAATTCACCAAGTCTGTAGAAAGTTCTAGGAACCAACCCAAATGCCCATCAATGATAAGACTGGACAAAGAAAATGTGGTACAGGCCGTGCGCAGTGGCTCAAGCCTGTAATCCCAGCACTTTGGGAGGCCGAGGCGGGTGGATCACGAGGTCAAGAGATTGAGACCATCCTGGTCAACATGGTGAAACCCCGTCTCTACTAAAAAATACAAAAAATTAGCTAGGCCTGGTGGCACATGCCTGTAATCCCAGCTACTCGGGAGGCTGGGGTAGGAGAATTGCCTGAACCCAGGAGGCGGAGGTTGCGGTGAGCCGAGATCGCGCCATTGCACTCCAGTCTGGGTAACAACAGCGAAACTCTGTCTCAAAAAAAAAAGAAAGAAAGAAAAGAAAAAGAAAATGTGGTACATACACACTATGGAATACTATGCAGCCATAGAAAACGATAAGTTCATGTCCTTTGTAGGGACTTAGATGAATCTGGAAACCATCATTTTCAGCAAACTGACCCAAGAACAGAAAGCCAAGCACATGTTCTCACTCATAGGTGGGTGCTGAACAATGAAAACACGTGGACTCAAAGAGAGGAGCATCACACACAGCGGACAGTTGAGGGGGTAAGGGAGAGACAATTGGTGAGAAGGGAGGGTAGGGTAGGGAGAAATAACATGGGGAGAAATGCCAGATAGAGTATGCCCCTAAAGTAAAATAAATAATAATAAAAAAGGAAAGTTCTAACTTACCCACATCTTCCTCTGTTCTTCGGAGCCTTCCAAATTGTTTCAACCTCTGCCTGTTACCCAGTTCCAAAGTTACTTTCACATATTCAGTTATCATTATAGCACCACCCCACTTTATACAGATTTACTTAGTCCACTCTCACATTGCTATACGAAAATGCCAGATTGAGTAATTTATCTGATAATGTGATTTTCCTTTTTTCTTTTCTTTTTTTTTTAAGACAGAGTTTTGCTCTTGTTGCCAAGGCTGGAGTACAAAGCCACGATCTCGGCTCATTGCAACCTGCACCTCCTGAATTCAAGTGTTTCCCCAGCCTCAGCCTCCTAAGTAGCTGGGATTACAGGCATGTACCACCAAGCCCAGCCAATTTTGTAGTTTTAGTAGAAATAAGGTTTCTCCATGTTAGGCTGGTGTCGAACTCCCAACCTCAGGTGATATGCCCGCCTCAGCCTCCCAAAGTGCTGGGATTATAAGCATGAGACATTGCACCCAGCCGAGACTCAGTGATTTACAAAGGAAACACATTTAATTGACTCACAGTTCCACATGGCTGGGAAGGCCTCAGGAAACACAATCATGGCGGAAGGCAAAAGGGATGCAAGGTACCTTCTTCACATGGTGGTAGGAAGAATGACTGAAGGAGAAATTTGCCAAACATCAAACTGTCAGGTCTCGTGAAAACAGTTACCTCCACCTGGTCTCTAATTCAAGAAGAGATACTGGGTGGGGACACAGCCAAACCATGTCACCATCTCAATGCTGTTCCTTGTTATTGGTCTGTTCAGAGTTTCTATTTATTTCTGATTGAATTGAGAGTTTTTTACTTTGGGATTCATAAATCTCCCTTAGGTTTTCTAGTCTGTGCACATAAAGGTGTTGAAAGTAGCCTTAGTGATCTTTTCTATTTCTGTCACATTGTAATATCTCCCATTTCATTTCTAATTGAGCGTATCTGGATTTTCTCTCTTCTTGGTTAATCTCACTAAAGATCTATCAATTTTCTCTTATCAAAGAACCAGCTTTTTGTTTCATTCATATTTCATAAGTTTTGTTTGTTTCAATTTCATTTAGTTTTGCTCTGATCTTTGTTACTTCTTTTATTCTGCTGGGTTTGGGTTTGGTTTGTCCTTCTTTCTCTAGTTCTTTGAGGATTAACCTTAGACTGTCTGTTTGTACTTTCAGACTTTTTGATGTAGGCATTTAATGATATAAACATTTGTCATAGCACCACTTTTGCTGTATCTCAGAGGTTTTGATAACTTGTATCACCATTATCATTCAGTCCAAAAAGTGTTTATGTTTCCACCTTGATTTCATTATTGGCCCAACGGTCACTCAGGAGCAGATTATTTAATTTCCATGTATTTGCACGGTTTTTGTGTTCCTTTTGGAGTTGATTTCCAATTACACTCCATTGTGGTCTAAGAGAGTACTTGATATGATTTTGATTTTCTTAAATTTAATGGCACTTGTTTTGTGGCCTATCATATGGTCTGTGTTAGGGAATGTTCCATGTGCTGATGTGTTCTCTATAGCTGTTGACTAGAATGTTCTGTAAATATCCAAGTCCATTTGTTCTAGAACATAGTCAAGACCATTGTTTACTTGTTGACTTTCTGTCTCAATCTGTCTAGTGTTGTCAGTGGAGTATGAAACTCCCCCACTGTTATTGTGTTCCCATCTATCTCATTTTTTAGGTCTAACAGTAATTGTATAACTTTGGAAGCTCCAATGTTAGATGTATAGAGATTGAGGACTGTGGTATTTTACTATTTGTTGAGTCTTTTTATCACATTATATAATGATCCTTTCTTTTCTTAATTGCTGTTGCTTTCAAGTTTGTATTGTCTGATATAAGAATAGCTACTCTTGCTCCCTTTTGGTGTCCATTTGCATGGAATATCTTTTTCCACTTCCTTACCTTAAGTCTATGTGAGTCCTTATGTGTTAGGTGAGTCTCTTGAAGATACTTGGTTGGTTAATTCTCAGCCATTCTGCCATTCTATATCTTTTAAGTGAAGTATTGAGGCCATTTACGCTCAACGTCAGTATTGAGATGCAAGGTATTCTTCTATTAATCTTGCTAGTTGTTGCCTGAATAGCTTGGATTTTGTTTTATACTTTAAGTTCTGAGTTACATGTGCAGAACGTGCAGGTTTGTTACACAGGTGCCATGGTGGTTTGCTGCATCCATCACCCATCATCTACATTAGGTATTCCTCCTAATGCTATCCCTCCCGTACCCCCCAGCCCCTGAGAAGCCCGTGTGTGATGTTCCCCTCCCTGTGTCCATGTGGTGTTTGGTTTTCTGTTCTTGTCAGTTTGCTGAGAATGATGGTTTCCAGATTCATCCATGTATCTGCAAAAAAAACATGAACTCATCTTATTTTAAGGCTGCATAGTATTCCATGGTGTATATATGCCACATTTTCTTTATCCAGTCTATCACTGATGGGCATTTGGGTTCGTTCCAAGTCTTTCCTATTGTGAACAGTGCTAAAATAAACGTGTACATATGTCTTTATAACAGAATAATTTATAATCATTTAGGTATATACCCAGTAATGGGATTACTGGGTCAAATGGTATTTCTAGTTCTAGATCCTTGAGGAATCACCACACTATCTTTCACAATGGTTGAACTAATTTACACTCTCACCAACAGCTTGAAGGCATTCCTATTTCTACACATCCTCACCAGCATCTGTTGTGTCCTGATTTTTAAATGATCGCCATTCTAAGTGGCATGAGATGGTATCTCACTGTGGTTTTGATTTGCATTTCTCTAAGGAACAGTGATGAGCTTTTTTTTTTTCATGTTTGTTGGCTGCGTAAGTCTTCTTTTGTTTGGTTGTTGTTTTTTTTTTTTTTTGCCCATTTTATGAAGAAGTGTTTTCATCTTGTAAATTTGTTTAAGTTTTCTGTAGATTCTGGCTATTAGCCCTTTGTCAGATTGGCAGATTACAAACAATTTTTCCCATTCTGTTGGTTGCTGGTTCACTCTAATGATAGTTTCTTTTGCTGTGCAGAAGCCCCTTAGTTTGGTTAGATCCCACTGGTCTATTTTGGCTTTTGTTGTCATTACTATCGATGTTTTAGTCATGAAGTCCTTGCCCATGCCTATGTCCTGAATGATACTGCCTAGGTTTTCTTCCAGGGTTTTTATGGTGTTAGGTCTTTTGTTTACATCTTTAATCCATCTGGAGTAAATTTTTGTATAAGGTGTAATGAAGGGGTCTAGTTACAGTTTTCTCCATATGGCTAGCCAGTTTTCCCAATAACATTTAGGGAATCCTTTACCCCACTGTTATTTTTGTCAGGTCTGTCAATAATCAGATGGTTGTAGATATATGACAGTATTTTTGAGGCCTCTCTTCTGTTTCATTAGTATATCTCTGTTTTGGTGCCAGTATCATGCTGTTTTGATTATAGTAGCCTTGTAGTATAGTTTGAAGGCAGATAGCATGGTGCCTCCAGCTTTAATTTTTCTTTTTCCCCTTGCTTATGATTGTCTTTGCTATGTGAGCTCTTTTTTGGTTCCATGCAAAATTTAAGGTGGTTTTTTTTTTTTCAATTCTGTGAAGAAAGTCAATGGTAGCTTGAAGGGGATAGCATTGAATCTAAAAATTACTTTGGGCAGTATGGCCAGTTTCATGATGCTGATTCTTTGTAATCATGAGCATGAAATATTTTCCATTTGTGTCCTCTCTTATTTCTTTGAGCAGTGGTTTGTAGTTCTCCTTGAAGAGGTCCTTCACATCCCTTGTTAGTTGTATTGCTAGGTATTTTATTCTCTTTGTAGCAATTGTGAATTGAAGTTCACTCATGATTTGGCTGTTTGTTATTGGTGTATGAAAATGCTTGTAATTTCTGCACATTGATTAGGTATCCTGAGACTTTGCTTAAGTTGCTTATCAGGTTAAAAAGATTATGGGCTGAGACAATGGGGTCTTCTAAATATACAATTATGTCATCTGCAAATACAGACAATTTAACTTTCTCTCTTCCTAATTGAATATCTTTTGTTTCCTTTTCTTGCCTGATTGCCCTGGCCAGATCTTCCAATACTATGTTGAATAGGAGTGGTGAGAGAGGGCATCCTTGTGCCAGTTTTCAAAAGGAATGCTTCCAGTTTTTGCCCCTTCAGTATGATACTGGCTGTGGGTTTGTCATAAATAGTTTTTATTATTTTGAGATATAAACTGATAACCTAGTTTATTTTTTAGCATAAAGGGCTGCTGAATTTTGTTGAAGGCCTTCTCTGCATCTATTGAAATAATCCTGTAGTTTTTGTCTTTGTTTCTGTATATGTGATGGATTATGTTTATTGATTTGAGTATCCTGAACCTGGCTTGTATCCCAGGGGTAAAGACAACTTGATTGTGATGGATAAGCTTTTTGATGTGGTGTTGGATTTGGTTTGCCAGTATTTTATTGAGGATTTTTACATCAATGATCATCATGGATATTGGCCTGAATTTTATTTTTTAGTTGTGGCTCTGACAGGTTTTAGTATCAGGATGATGTTGGTCTCCTAAAATGACTTAGAGATGATTCCCTCTTTTATTTGGAAGAGTCTCAGAAAGAATAGTACCAGGTCCTCTTTGTACCTCTGGTAGAATTCTGCTATGAACCCATCTAGTCCTGGACTTTTTTGGGTTTGCAGGCTATTGACTGCTGACTCAATTTCAGACCTTGTTATTCGTGTATTCGGGGATTCAACTTCTTGGTTTAGTCTTTGGAGGGTGCAAGTGTCCAGGAATTTTCCATTTCTTTTAGACTTTCTGATTTATTTGCAGAAAGGTGTTTATGTATTCTCTGATGATAGTTTGTAGTATGAGATTGGTAGTAATATCCTCTTTATTTTTTATTACATCTATTTGAGTCTTCTCTCTTTACTTATTTATTAGTCTAGCTAGTGGTCTATCCATTTCATTAATCTGTTCAAAAATCCTGCATTCACTGATTTTTTTTGAAAGGTTTTTCATGTCTCAATCTCCTTAATTTCTGCTCTGATCTTATTTATTGTCTTCTGATAGCTTTTGAATTTGTTAGTCCTTGCTCCTCTAGTTCTTTTAACTGTGAAATTAGAATGTCAATTTTAGATCTTTCCTCCTTTCTCTTGTGGGCATTTAGTGCTAAAAATTTCCCTCTGCACACTGCTTTAAATGTGTCCCACAGATTCTGGTACTTTGTGTCTTCGTTCTCATTGGTTTCAAAGAACATCTTTATTTCTGCCTTCAATTCATTATCCAGTAGTCATTCAGGAGCAGGTTGTTCAGTTTCCATGTAGTTGTGCGGTTTTGAGTGAGTTTCTTAATCTTGAGTTCTAATTTGATTGCACTGTGGTTTGAGAGACTGTTAAGATTTCTATTCTTTTGCATTTACTCAGGAGTGATTTACTTCCAATTATGTGCTCAGTTTTACAATAAGTGCGATGTGATGCTGAAAAGAATGTATATTGTGTGGATTTGTGATGGAGAGTTCTGTAGATGTCTATAAGGTTCTGTAGATGGTTCTCCTGAATACAGCACACTGATGCGTTTTAACTCTTTATCCAGCTTGCCAGTCTGTGTCTTTTAATTGGGGCATTCAGCCCATTTACTTTTAAGGTTAATATTTTTATGTGTGAATTTGATCCTGCCATTATGATGCTAGCTCATTGTTTTGCCGGTTAGTTGATGCAGTTTTTTCAGTGTTGATAGTATTTATAATTTGATTGTACTTTTCTATGTTTAGTGCTTCCTTCAGGAGCTCTTATAAGGCAGGCTGGTGGTGAGAAAACCTTTCAGCAGTTGCTTGTCCTTAAAGGATTTTCTCCTTCGCTTATGAAACTTAGTTTAGCTGTATATAAATCTCTGGGTTGAAAATTCTTTAAGAATGTTGACTATTGGCCCCGACTCTCTTCTGGCTTGTACAGTTTCTGCCAAGAGATCTGCTGTGAGTCTGAGAGGCTTCCCTTTGTGGGTAACCTGAACTTTCTCTCTGGCTGCCCTTAGTATTTTTTCCTTCATTTCAACCCTTGTGAATCAGACAGGGGTTGCTCTTCTCGAGGATTATCTTTGTGGTGTTCTACTTATTTCTTGAATTTAAATGTTGGCCTGCCTTGCTAGGTTGGGGAAGTTCTCCTGGATAATATCCTAAAGAGTGTTTTTTTAGGCCAGGTGTGGTGGCTCGCGCCTCTAATCCCAGTACTTTGGGAAGCCGAGGTGGGTGGATCACAAGGTCAAGAGATCAAGACCATCCTGGTCAACATTGTGAAACCTGTCTCTACTAAAAATACAAGAAATTAGCTGGGCATGGTGGTGCGTGACTGTAATCCCAGCTACTCGGGAGGCTGAGGCAGGATAACTGCTTGAACCCAGGAGGTGGAGGCTACAGTGAGCCGAGATGGCGCCACTGCACTCCAGCCGGGGTGACAGAGCAAGACTGCCTCAATGAAATAAATAAAATAAAACAAAATTCTGGTCTCTCACACTCTGCGTGAATTACTCTCTTTTTTGAGATGGAGTTTCACTCGTTACCCAGGCTGGAGTGCAATGGAACGATCTCGGCTCACTGCAACCTCTGCCTCCTGGGTTCAGGCAATTCTCCTGCCTCAGTTTCCTGAGTAGCTGGGATTACAGGCACACACCACCATGCCCAGATAATTTTTTGTATTTTTAGTAGAGACGGGGTTTCACCATGTTGACCAGGATGGTCTCAATCTCTTGACCTCGTGATCCATCCACCTCGGCCTCCCAAAGTGCTGGGATTACAGACATGAGCCAACGTGCCCGGCCCCTAAAGAGTGTTTTCTAACTTGGTTTCATTCTCCCCAACATTTTCAGGTATGCCAATCAAACTTAGATTCTGTTTTTACATGTAATCCCAGGTTTTTTGGAGGCTTTGTTCATTTCTTTTTACTCTTTAATCTTGTCTTCTAGCTTTATTTCATTGAGTTGATCTCTGAATCTCTGATATCCTTTCTTTTGATTCAGCTATTGAAACTTGTGTATGCTTCATCAAGTTCCCATGCTGTATTTTTCAGCTCCATCAGGTCGTTTATGTTCTTTTCTAAACTGGTTATTCTAGTTAGCATTTCATCAAACTTTTTTTTTGCAGGTTGTTAGCTTCCTTGCACTGGGTTAGTACATGCTCCTTTCACTTGGAGAAGTTTCTTATTACCCACCTTTTGCAGCCTGCTCTGTCAATTCATCAAACTCATTTTCTGTGCAGTTTTGTTCCCTTGCTGGTGAGTTGTGATCCCTTGGCAGAGAGGAGGTGTTCTGATTTTTGGAATTTTCAGCCTTTTTGCACTGGTTTCTTCTCATCTTTGTGGATTTATCTACTTTTGGTCTTTGAAGTTGATAACCTTTA